TTAAAAAAATTCAATCCTTCTTAAGTAATAAAAGACAGAATTTATTGGATCACATATGAGTGAGCAGGTGTGGGTTCAGCTTACTCCAGGACTCAAAGGACAACCCATGACACAATCTGTGTCTCTCTACTGGTGCCCTCTGCATTCTCAGCCTTGGCGAGTTCTCAAGCTTCCTCTGAGACGGGGGCAGCAACCTCAGCCTCTTCTTCCTCTTAGTTTGTGTTGTTGTTGTTGTGAGCTGCCCCTGAGTTGGCCCCGAACGCATGGCAACCCCACGCACAATGGAAGAAAATGCTGCCCTGTCCTGTGCCATCCCCGTGAGCAGTTGTGGATCAGACCATTGTGATCCATAGGGTTTTCACTGGCTGATTTTCAGAAGTAGATCGCCAGGCCTTTCTTCCTAGTCTGTCTTAACTGGAAGTTCTGTTGAAATCTGTTCAGCATCATTGCAACACAAAAGCCAGACAGGTGGTGACTGTGCATGAGGCGCATTGGCAGGGAATCGAACCTGGGTCTCCCACGTGGAAGGCGAGAATTCTATCACTAAACCACCACTGTCCTCCAGTTCATTTTAAGTGGGGACAAAGTATCCGCTTTCCTAGATGCCTTAGACAAGCCTCATTAAATGTCATCAGATATGATTCATCCTGGAGCTGGAATGAGTCAACTCCATCAGAAGTGAAAGGGCTGAAAGCGGAAGAAGACGTGGCTTTGATAGCGAGCACAGCCAGCAGCTTGCTCAGCCATTATCAAGCAAGAATTGCTCCTCCTGTCCATTATCATCAAGACCCTGAGCACTGCCTGTAACTCAGCTTCTGCCTTACACCGGCCCAAACCATCCAAAATCAGCTTACTAGCCTCAAAAAGTGACCTAAAGTAACCTAAGCCTCATTAAGACCTAATTAAGATCCCCACTCCAGGCAGTACTTATCCACCATTTTCTGTACATACTAAAGGGAAAAAATGCAATTTGTCTTACTGCGCCTGCGCGCCATGATAACCTATGTAGTCTGTGATGATTGTATGTACTTCCTTGTGAGGGATGGTATAAAAAGTTTTGCCTCCCTTTGTTCAGGGAGCTTGATTTGGGTATACACCTCCTTGCTCCTTGCCTGCGTGCTTGCGATAAACGCTCTACCTTCTTCCTCACCTCGGTGTGTCTTTATTGATGAGAAGCCGCACCAGGCAGGACCTGCTTTGGGTAACAGTTTCCCCACACTCCTGTTTTCTCAGATGAACGCTGAGTGGATACCAGGAGGCAAAAGCCTCAGATGAGCACCGTTTCAGAGAGACATGAAATACCATCATATGTTCAGAGAACCGAGTGTGATCCAGGAATGGATAGTGCATTGTGTGCAAAAAAAAAAAGAAAATGGAAGAAGAAAGTGGCTGGGGAGGTGATCAGAAGCCAGATCATGAGATCATGGAGGGCCTTGTGTGCCATTTGAAGAAATCAGGATTTTATCTTTTAGGCAACAGGGAACTATTAAAAAGTTTTAAACAAGAGTGTGACATTACCATCGTTTCATTTCTGATAAATCGCTCTGACAGTGGAGGTGTTGTGTGACTTGGCCAAGCAATCTGACCTCTCTGAGCATCAATTCCTACATTTGTAGAACGTGGGCAACAATAGTGTCCATCCGATAGCGCTGTGGTGTGGTGAAGATTAAACCTGCTATGTTTGTAAAATGTTTGGAACAGTGCTTGGCACACAGTGAGTTAAGTTTAAGTGTCGCTGCTACTATTATTACTATTGTTGTTGTTATTGTTGTCATTATTATTATTATTGAATTGGAGGAGTGTGAGCTTGGAGGCCACTTTCACCCACACAGTGTACTATTATCTTCCTGAACATAACATGACTATTTCAGGAAATATTAGCCCTGGAAGATAAATGTTGCCAGTAACTTCATTTTTCAGTCAGGAACATCCTCAAAGACCCATCAATGACTCAATAAAAAGCATCAAACTACAGTTTAGGCCTCAAGAGTTTTTGAACTTCTCACCTCAAAATCCTCACCTTGCTGTGTCCTCCAATCCTAAACGATTATATTGTAATCATTATCCAAGTCCTAGCATCGGGGACCCAACTTGGTCTGACTTCCAGACCTCATACACAGCCAGATGTGGCTCTCCTCCCATTGGGAGGCTACCAAGAATCTCCATTACCACAGTAAGCAATCAGCTCTGCTTTGTCTTGTTGCCAGCTTGTTTGGGTGATTTTTTTCAAGGAGCCAACATTCAAGAGCAGGCAGTTCCGAAGCTGGCAGCAGTCGGGTAACAGATAATGAGGGACTGAAGAGAGGAGCCTTTGAATAGAAGCACTGTTAAGGGGAGAGAGAGACCTGGTAACTGGATGTGGGGAAAGAGGAAACATTCAAGGACACCTCTCAGGTTGGTAGCTTCAGTAACTGGGGAGATTGTAGGACTGTTTTCCAAAGTTGAAACCACAAATCTTAGCAGGTGTAACTTAGCATGTGCATTGACATGTAACTGTAGGAACCAGTTTTATTGGGCTTTTTCTTAACTTCTAACGATCCACAGCCCTGGCCACTAAGATCCTCTCAGAGGTGGGGCAGCCGGTATGCAAACAACTTGGGTTAGGCTTCTCAAGTTCCATAGGAGGATGTCATCATTACGCCCTTCTCAGTTACAATTCTATCCTGACTCAGAAACTTTGAGTGTCGATGCATGCTGAACACTGTGAGTCATGAGTCTGTCACCTGTACAGAAGACTTGTGGCCCACCTCTTCTTTCTCTCTGCCTGCCTGGAGGCCAATTTCTGAACTGCTAATGCCTAGAACCACCACTGTCAGTTTGTTGCACTGTGCTGGCTTGCATGTTACTATGATTCTGGAAGCTATGCCACTGATATTTCAAATACCAGCAGGGGGTGGCTTATCCAATAAGCAAGGGAAAAACATGTGAAATTGTTCACTACAGATTAGGAAGTAAGCACAAGTAAGCCCGTGTTTACCTTGCTGACTGGGTAATCCGTCCCTGTCAGGGACTGTGAATTTGAAAAGAGGCTTTGATTCTGTAGGAAGGTGCTGTGGGGTTGGAAGAGATGCCAGCCATACCTAGAAGCAGAATCTTGGATGCGGTGAAAAAAAAAAAAGTGAAATTATTCACTACAGATGCTCTGGTAAGCAAGGTAAGTGCCATAATTACCTTACCTATTGGATAATCCGCCCCTGCCCATGGTGGACAGGTTTCAGTGAAGCTTTCAGGCTAAGACAAACTAGAAAGAAAGACCTAGCAATCAACTTCCAAAAATTAGCCAATAAAAACCCTATGGATCACACCAGAATATTATCCAATATTGTGCTGGAAGATGAGCCCCTTATTTTAGAAGCCACTCAAAATACCAGTGTCTATAACAATGAACTTGAGCCTATCAACTATCTGAAGATGGTGCAGGACCAGGCAAGGTTTCGTTCTGTTGTACGTGAGGTCATCAAAAGTATAGGTTGCGATGAGTTGGAGCCAACTCTGACAGCAACTAACAGCAATGCCCAGGAAACACAAATTCCATGCTGAAAGCACTGATGTAGAATTTACTGGAGATTATGTGGAACGATAAGGTAGAGCAACCAACTTGTCCTGGTTTTAGTGCTCAGAGTCCAGAGTGCCGGGAACCTCCTCAGTCCCTGGCAAAGCAGGATGGTTGGCCACTCTAAATAAAGGAGAAAATCCCATTACACCTTGCACGCAAATCTTTTTCAAAAATCCGTTTAAAATCTCTTCATTGTCCCTCAAGTTCTTCTCCATAGGCTGCAGACCCACACACCTTCCTGATCCCCAACAGAGTCCTTTCTGGTCGCTCCAGTGGGTGTCTCTGCCCCTCACACTCTCTTGCAAAATCCCATCACTTTGCATAATTCACTCAGCAACACAAAAGCCAGCCCACGGGGGCTCAGCCAGCAGTAATTCCCGGTGCTGTCTCAAATTCTTGTGGATGTGGGGGTTCACTTCTTGAGACCATTCATATTCGTGTGTGTGAGGGTCTATTGGAGCCCTGGTAGTGCAGCGGTTAAGAGCTCGTCTGCTAACCAAAAAGCTGACATTCTGAATCCACCAGCTGCTCCGTGGGAACCCTATGGGGCACTTCTACTCTGTCCTATAGGGTTGCTATAAGTCAGAATCAACTCGACGGCTATGGGTATGGGAGGGTCTATTTATCATTACATTAGAGAGACAGTGGTCTAAAACAGTAGTTTCATTAAACAGGGACTGTCCCTGGAAAATGGGGGTTGAATACATATTATGCCCAAACATTTCCCTCTCAAACCTCCTACTCTTCCATCAAAAGTGTTAAGATTGACAAGACTCCTTGAGACTTTCCCCAGTGGCTTCTAGACTCCCCTCTCCCCTTTTCCTCCCACCTTTAAGACCTGTGGCACTTTGGTGGCGCAGTGGTTAAGAGCTCGGCTGCTAACCAAAAGGTGGGCAGATCGAATCCACCAACCGCTCCTTGTAAACCTTATGGGGCACTTCCACTCTATCCTATAGGGTCACTATCAGTCAGAATGAACTCCACAGCAACGGGTTTTTTTGTTTTGTGTTTTTTTTTAAAGACTTTAAGACTGTTAAGGGTCTTGCCCTTGCCACTCGCCATACTTCTGCTCTCACTCTATATGCACCTTTGGGGTGACTTCACTAACACCCATGGATTAATGCTTGTTGTTTCCATCCCGTTTATTTCTCCCCATAATCTGCTTGTTAACAAAACAAAAGCACTACACTCAACTCTGAGCAGGGCCTGGGGAAGGAGCTGAATAGTGATAGAACAGGAGGAGATGAACAGGTCCTAGAAAAACATTAAAAATAAAAGAGATGCCTTTTGTTAGAGATTCATGCCTTTCTTTCAGGGATTTGAACAGGTTCAAATCCCTGCTGAGAATCTGCATTTCCACGCCAAATATACTGAATCAGAATCTTTCTTTGATCCCTTTGTAAACTGAGCCACTAGTAGTGTTAAAGAAAATGCCCCCCCCCCCTTTAAACTTAACTCTTAACCCCTTACAGAAATGAAAAACTCAAGATAAACACAGTTCTGGAAAAAGTTTAAATAATAAGATAAGCCATAGCTAGTCTAGAATGCAGACATGCACACTTAATAAACCAATCCAAGCCGCCTCCTGCAGAGTAAGTGAATGATAAACCAATCATTTTAGATTTCCCCTTTAGGAAATTCCCTAGCAGTTTGTACCATATATAATAAGCTAATCAAAATTGTAACATGCCGAGCTCATCTCTTCAGAGGGGTGCTCCCGGTTTGCCCAACAGTTCTTTGCTCGGTCCAATAAAACCTTTTAACTCTAATTGACTTACTGATCAGATCTTTTCTTTTGACAGTTCTTCACGGTCCTGAAGCTGTTGAGGGGTAAACCTGTTGCCATAGAATCGATTTTGACTCCTAGCGACCCTATAGGACAGAGTAGAACTGCCCTATAGCGTTTCCAAAGAGAAGCTGGTGGATTCGAATCGCTGACTTTTTGGTTAGCAGCTGTAGCTCTTAACCACTACACCACCAGGGCTTCCTGTTGAGGTGTAAGAGGAGATAATACACATAGAGTGCTTAGAATAGGGCCTGCTAAGCAGTAAATGCTCAACAACTGTTAGTGACTGTCTTCATTACTCAAGGAGCTTTAAGGAACGTATTTGAAGGGTATTCTTCTCTAAGGTGGAGGGGCAAGAAAAGCTTCCTCCCATCAAAGAGAAAAATTGATAGCAGATATCTTGCTTTGATTTTGGGGTTTTCTTACTCATGAAACCAAATATTCACTTTAAAGAAATTCCTGACCAAAATAAATCCTGCCAGTGGTTTTTCTCTCACCCGAAGTTGCAGATCATTTCTTTCCTATTCAAAGCGGGCTTCATTTGAATTTCAAAAGATATGGCTGGGTGGAGGGTCAAGAGACTATCTTGTAATCTAATACCAGTTGATTTCAATAAAAGGGCAGGGTTCAATCAATCATGTTAAGATTAAACTGAAAAAAAGAGACACCAAAACCGTTACCATGGAGCTGATTCCGACTGACAGCGACTCTATAGGACAGAGTAGAACTGCCCAGTAGGGTTTCCGAGGAGCAGTTGGTGGATTCAAACTGCCAACCTTTTTGGTTAGCAGCTGAACACTTAACCACTGCACCACCAGGCCTCTATAGATTAGCCAGTGGCTAATCTTCTATATTTCTCCCTCCTCTTTTCTTTATAAGCCTCATTGTACCTAACTTCTTAGAGCCATTTGCTTTTTCTGGAATCAAAATGGTCTCCCTATATGCACACAGAATAACTGCTCAGAATAAAGCTTATGTTCAAATTTTGTTGAGCTTTATTTTTTAACACTCCCCAAACATTTCTCCTTTGAATCAAGTTAAATGAGGAAATTCTAACCAGGCCATGACGTTCACTGAGTCTAATGACAAAGTAAATTATAAGTTCACCGTAAGTTTAAGCCAGTGATTAGTGGTATCCATGTACTGCAGAAATAAACTTTAAAAAAAGCTTTTTTAATTTTTATTTTAAGAAAGCATAAGTTTGTGCTTCTTAGCTAACCTTTTTAAGAAAGCACAGTTTCTGCTACCTAGTAGTTGAGGCTTCAAATAAAATGCACAAAGCTCTCTAGTTAAACAAGATCCTCCTCCTGCGCCAACATGGCTCATCCAAGATACTCCCAGGGTAGGTTGTTCGCCTGGATGCTACTGAAGAGAATGAATATTTTCAAGTCCTCTTGCTGAAACGGAACATCTGCTTTGCATCGGCACGTACTTCAAAGAGCCCAGCCCATCTTCACCTAACAAGCAATTAACATTAAACTGGCTTCAGAAAATGAAATTCCACATATTGATTCTAAGGAGCTAGAGGAAAATGGTTGCCAATTTAAGCATCTCGACAGTGGCCTATCCAAAACCCAAACTGGTTGCTGTCTATTCCCAGTCATAGCGACCCTTATAAGACAGAATAGAATTGCCCTATAGGGTTTCCAAGGCTATAAATCTGTACAGAAGCAGCAGACTGCCACATCTTTCTCCTGCAGAACGGCCGCCAACGCTTCGGTTAGCAACCGAGCACTTCACTGTGCCAGTGGCGCTCCTTTGGTGGCCTATAGGATTTGTTAACTTACCCCTCTACCTCCTACTGAAAAGGTTCTCTCCACTGAGGGTCTACAGTTAGGGCATCTAATAGGGTTACCCAGTTATAAGGCTAGGACATACACTGCTAAGCCCAAAGCTTAAACTAAAACATTTCTGTGGGTGAAAGTGGAGTGGAGAGAAAGCAGGATGCCCTCCCTCCCCCAAATAAAGGCTGGGGGTGGGAAGAATAAGGCTCCCTAAGGCAAACCATATGTGGAAAATGCTGCAAATAAATATTTGGCAAGCAGCAGTTTTATGGAACCGGAAGGAATTGCTCTCAAAATATCAAGATGTGATTTCAGGCAAATTCTGAATGCTCCTTTGTTTAATCTTTTTTTTTTTTTTTAAACATAATTAAGATCACATTATATGTAGTCTTCCACTTTATTTCACTTGTTATAGTTATTTTCCATTGCATTAAACATACTATAAAAAGATCATATTCCATAATACCCCATCACATAAATGTAAAAATACACAATTATTCTTCTATCACTGGATGTCTTTTTACATCTCAGTATTAATAAGGATATGATAATCCGATGAATTTAAACATTGGGCTAGATTTTCTCTGATTATTCCCTTAGGATATTTTCTAAGAAGTAGAATCATTGATCAAAGAATGGGAATGGTTTTAAAGGTTCTTCATGGGGTCAAACTTTTGCTGGTAGGTTTGAATAATACTCCCTGCAGTATGAATTTCTCAACATGGTCTAATAAGTATTGAGGATGAATTAAAAACAAACTTTGCTAATTTGGTATATAAACATTAAATTGTTTTAATTTGGATTTTTTTATTAAATTTCGATTTTTCTTACTAGTCATTTATATTTCTCTTATTTCACCTTTTTTGAATTGTTATATTTTTTGATCATTTTTCTCTTGGCATCTTAATGCGTTTTGAAAATACATTAGCATGAGGTTGAGGAGAAATGAGGAGTTTAAAAGATAAGGGTTTTCTTTTTGGGGTGATGAAAATGTAAAACTGATTGTGGTAATGGTTCTATTAAAAACCGCTGTGCAGTTAAGTGGGTGAATTGTGTGGTATGTGAATCTTTTAAGTTGTTTTAAAAAATGAGCATAAATCATTAAATGTTATTAAGCCTCCCTTGTTCAAAACTCTGTTTGCCTTCTCCTTTCTCATAGTCAGAAGAGACACACTTTAGTTAGATCAGTCTACTCCTATGAAAGTACACGTTAAAAATTAAATCTTTCATAAATAGGTTTATAATGTATAAAGGATACATAAAGCTGTTAAAGACCTGTAGTCAACCAATTTTGCCTCTTTCTACAGTCTGTTTCAACTAAAATGGGACTAAAGAACACCTAGAGGGGTTTAACAGATCAGGTAAGATGAGCTGTAGGAGGTGTGCTCTTGGGGTAAATTCAACAAGCTTCCCTGTCTCAGCAGCTGTGCCCACCCCATACAACACCAAGCAACAGATCCTGTTAGTCTTTGGTCATTGAGCTACTCTCTTCCTTCAGCAGAGGCATGCTGAAGCTAGCATTGCCCTAGAATGCAACTATTGTTGTTGGTTGCAGTCCAGTTGACTGGTGGTGACCCTATGTATAATAACCATTGAATTATGTTCTTCTTAAGTCCCCTGCCTTGGTCCTTTTGCATAATGTTTTATTTTCTACCTTTGCCATACCCTTTTCCATTTAGACATTTCTGCCTTAAGAATTAATCTTCTGATTTTAATCACTAACAAATGACCTTGTTAGTTATAATGTACCACATCAACTACTAAATTTAATGAGTAAAAATATCATGTATTTAACATTTGGTAGCAAATGAAAAAGGAATAATTTGTGAAGCCAAGGCACTGGTTTCTGAATGGCTAATTTTAATGGTGATATGACTGGTTCCAACTGCATTCAGTAATGTCCACGTTTAGAAGAATAAAACTTATACTTTTGCCATGGAATAATGTTGAATTCATTTTATATTTAACATTAAAATGTTTTTACTTTTTCTAAGCAACTGAAAAAGTCGAGTTCAACTGACCCTACAGACAAATGAACCAAAACATGGCTACCTCCCTGCAAAGTAACTACAAAAAATGAATGCACTGATGTTATTTAAGTGAATTGTACTTAAATGAATGACACAAATACATGCTTAGAGGCAAAAATGCTCCCCATTTTCAAGCCTGGGCAGCTATTTCCTGTGGTCCAGGAAGAGTCTGGGTAATTCATTTTTGTTCACCCGTGTCCTTTACTACTATGTTAGCCTTGATACAATACTTCATTAGCTAGAATCCTTTCATCGTAGCTTTGCAATTTACGTGTCTAAGGATTTCTAATTTTTTGTATGACTTCTAATAATTTCCTATAAAAGACCTTAAATGACAGTTAAAAAAAAATTAGTGTTTAATAACTGACATAATGTAACTTAAATAACTTGTGTGTAACTTGTGTTTTGGTTTTCCTGAATATACCATCAGCTTTCTTTGGAAACTATCCTTCTGATTTCTTCAAATTGCTTTTCAGAATAACTTAAAACAAATTTATTAGTTTCAAGTTATTCTGAAAAGTTTAAAAATGAAATACTTTTAGTTCCGATGAACACATCCCTAGAACAGGCATTACCTGTAGGGTAGTGTTCAGACACATTTCAACAAGTACCCTACTGGAAAGATATGCCATCACAGCTGCATAAAAGAAGGCGGGTTCACAGTGTTAGTGTGGGGCTGAGGAAATGGACTCTGAATATCCTATTTTCATACCTACGGTGAAGAAAAAAATCCCTTGAAACCTTAAATTTAAATGTAAATGAGATGCAGTCACACTACAATAAAGCAAGAGGGTTGTGATAAATGCTATCTTTGGATAGTTCTAAAACTAATTTTCAATTCTGGTAAATTCAAAAATACATAAAACTTAACCACAAATGAGGCAGGAGGTTAACAACCTTTGATTATGTGTACGGGGTCCACAGGTGTTCACTGTACCACTGTTTTAACTTTGCTGTAGATTGGAAAGCGTTCAAAATAAACAAATGAAAAAAGTTCTATAAAACAAGACACCAAGAATAGTTAAAAAAAAGCCATGCACACATACATACGTTTCACTGAACGTCTTTGGTCTTAGCGTAAAAGAAATTGCTTTACCTTTTAGGTAATACCTTTCTGCTAAAAAAGAGCATGGCAGGAATATTTGACATGCCTTAAAAGAAAAAATTAGTTAAAAAGCCAAGAGACAGAATATTATGTATCTAATGCCCTCATCAACTTTCTCTCTTTAGTTTTCAAAGCAAAATGGGCGTTCCCTCTTGGTTCAACACTGGCTACCATGCTGATATGCAAAAACACAGCAATCTACTGACTTGCACGCCTACATATGATGATCAAGGTTCAAAAAATCACATGAAATTTTCACTGAGTGTGGTCAGTATAGTCAAACTCAATAAAATGATGTTTTTCATCTTTAGAAATTAAAGATGTTTTCTCAAATGAATGCCCGAAACCGGTATTACGAATTTCTCATGTACTCTTTAAGTTTGCTATGTTTTAAAAACAAAGTACATGGCTTTGAATATTACTAAAAGTCTAATGGTAAATGTTAACCACCACCTGTCTATCGGTTTGTCGTACTGTAGTGGCTTGTGTGTTTCTATGATGCTGGAAGCTATGCCACCAGTATTTCAAATACCAGCATGGTCACCCATGGTAGATAGGTTTCAGCAGAGCTTCCAGACTAAGACAGATTCGGGAGAAAAGCCTGACAATCTACTTTCAAAATTAGTCAATGAAAACCTTATGGATTACAACTGAACATTGACTCCCCGGCTCTGGACACGTCATCTATTAAGGGATCAACTGCTGCAAGAGGGCATCATGTGCACAGAAGTTTAGGGCCAGCGAGGACAAGGAAGACCTTTGGTGAGATGGATTAGCACAACACTCACTACAGTGGACTTGAACATGTTGGCAATCATGAGGATGACAGAGGACTGGCAACGTTTCCTTCTGTTGTACAGAGCCAACTCAAAGACAGCTATCTATCTGAATGATAAAGCTTCACATCTTCTGTTAGATCTTTGGCTGCAGAGTGTCAGTTTATCAAACTGACTTTGAGACATGGCACAGCATGATAGCAACCCCAAATTAGCTGTCTTTTGGTGAAAATGGAGAGTGTATGCTATAAATAATAACAATATCCAAGCAATCTGTTCCAAATCTTAAATTCCCTTTAGGATTCTCAAGCCTTCAAGTATGCCATGTGGAATAAAAGCGCCATTCTTCCCCTCTTTATAGAAGGTTATGATACATGAGGAAAATCACAACCAACAGGCTAAGGAACTATGCAGGTAACGTGAAGCAGGAACAGCAGAGATCAGTTCTTTTCCAGTGGAGGCACAGGTGACATTAGGAAACCTTGACCCTGGAAGGCTGGACACAAAGCGATTCAACAACCAACCTTCATTTCTGGAGATAGTGCCAATTGCTAGTTTTTGAAAATCATGGGGAAAAAAAAAAAAACCAAAAAAACCAAAAACCCATTGCCATCGAGTCAGTTCCGACTCACAGAGACACTATGGGACAGAGAATCGTCCCATGGGGTTTCTAGGTCTGTAATCTTTACGGAAACTGACTGCCATATCTTTCTCCTGTGGAGAGGCTAGTGGGTTCAAACCGCTGACCGTTCAGTTAGCAGCCAGGCGCTTAACCACGGCACCACCAGGGCTCATTTTAAAAATCATGGCCTTCAGAAACTGGCTAAATGTGACAACTCCTCCTCCCCTTCTCCCAAGGCTATCTTATCCTTTCTTTTTTCTCTGTACTAGCTACTGGCAATCAAGTCACATTAGAGTACTGAGAAGGCAGTATAGGGTCCTATCAAAGTTAGGAGCCCTGGTGGCACAGTGGTTAAGAGCTTGGCTGCTAACCAAAAGCATGGCAGTTTGAAACCACCAGCCGCTCCTTGGAAACCCTACAGGGCAGTTCTACTCTGTTCTATAGGTTCGCTATGAGTTGGAATTGACTCGACAGCAACAGGTTTTCTTTACCCAGTTTGACAGCAGAGTTTGGACAGCAGAATGGAGGGAGGAGCAGGCAGATAAATATATGGAAAAATTTTCCTGAGTTACCTCTTCAAGAAACTATAATAGAAAGATATTTTAACTTTTCTGATAACCTAAGATGATTTATAGGATTAACTAAACCAGAAATTACCTTGAAAAAAAAAGTGTAGTTACAAGCAAAAATTAGTCAGAAATAGTAATGTTAAATCAAGCACATTAAGCTCCCTGAGATGACATACACCCACTCCTCACGACATGCTTAAGCTCCAAAGACCAGGTCATTATGCAAAAATCAGCATTATGTGAAAATGGAGGATGACCACAACAGATCACAAAATGGAAGATGACTACATCATTACACAACTGCCAAATTACATCATTACATAACTGCTAAACCACTGAGAATCATGATCAAGTTGACACATAACCTTAGCCATCACAGCGAGCGTTACTCTCACCTCATGCCTCAGCATTTGCTACCGCCAGACACACGTTGTTAATGTGCAAAATAGTTGGATGGTACATTTTTTACTATTGTCATGAATTCGAAATGTTGGATAAGGAAGATATTTGATAAGTGAGGAGTAGGTGTACTACACAGTGCAGTGTGACAACAGAAAGTAAATTATTCAGAAGGATCATTGAGGTCAAATCAAATTTCTATTTCAACAAATCTAACAGACAAAACATATAACAAACAAAAGCTGGACATGAATAAGGAAGACCAAAGAACTGATGCCTTTGAATTATGGTGCTGGTGAAGAATACTGAATACACCATGGAATGTCAAGAAGAATGAACAAATCTGTCTTGCAAGAAGTACAGTCAGAATGCTCCTTAGAAGCGAGGATGGCAAGACTTTGTCTCATGTACTTTGGACACATTATCAGGAGGGACCAGTCCCTAGAGAAGAACATGCTTGGTAAAGTAGAGAGTCAGTGAAAAAGAGTAAGACCCTCAAGGAGATGGATTGACACAGTGGCTGCAACAATGGGCTCAAACACAGTAACGATTGTGAGGATAGTGAAGGACTGGGCAGTGTTTCATTCTGTTGTACACAGAGTCGCTATGAGTCGGAACTGACTCGACAGCACCTAACAACAACATACAAAATAAATTACATCTTTATGACCGGTTGTTGCTACAAATTTATTCAAATCAGGAAAATCATACCAAAATAATTTTGGCACAGGTTGATTCTTTTCCTTTTGTTAAGCATTTCCGATTCAACTCCCTGAGCTCTTTTAGCAGTTTTGCACCTCTCCTCTCCCACATTTGCTGCCTCTTCTGGCCTTGCTGCTACCCCTGCCCCTCCATTCACAAAGTATGAAAACGACAAAAACTACCCATTTTCCTCCATCAAAATCTTGGCTCCCAATCTCCCCTCACTTTAACTCTGGTGGAGATTTAATGCTATAACCTTTCTTCCACACTCTCCTCTGCCAAAAACATGGAGATTCTCTGGACATAAAGACTTAGCAGAATCCCTGCCCGCAAAAGTTCCCTACACAGCTTTTCTGATGCAGAAAAGTCAGACGAGGTTCATTTTGTGCACCCTTATTTCTAAAGTTGCCTACCACTGTAAGTGTTTTACGGGCTCCAGAGCTTTATGCCTCAGGTGCTCATCCAAACACTGGATGGCAAAGGGGTCGACATCCATGTCAAACTTGTTGGCAAACAAGTGGTGCTTGTGCAGCATCCAGTTCAAGTCCCCGGCCCCGAAAACGCAGACGGAGCGCACGTGGACACCACTGCAGGGCGGGTAGGGGGCGCCCTTGGAAACATCGCCTTCATAGTAGTACCATTTGACAAATCTTGCCACCGCCTGCATGTCAGACATGTCGTACTTATGGCTTGAGGAGAATGCGCCAGGGACTTCAGCGATCCTTTGAATGGTGGCCCAGAGATATTCATCAGGGCTGTAGGTGTCTTTTGCCCACTCTATAAAGTTTTGGATTTTTTCATTCTCTAGCACGTAACCCACGTATTTCCGACTGACCACAAAATAGGCACTGCCTGAAAACACAGGTGTTTCAAGAGGAGGAGGCACTTTGTCTGCCCCCGTGTTTGTTAGCTTCCCATTAATGACTTCGTAACGCTTTTTCCACCTTTCTGCTTTGTGGGCTGGCATTTTCTCAGTTTCGAGGCTGTTTTCACCCATTAATGACTTGAGCTGCCTGACAATTTCCAGGTTGGTTTTAATAGGAAAATCCATACCACAAAGATTTATCAAGTACTTCCAGTCTGCACTCATTCTGTAGAGGTCCTTCATGCAGTTGAGGTCTGCCTGGACACGGCTCCATGAAGCATAGACCACACGCTCCAGCTGGCTGGCCACGAAGACGTTACTGAAGCAGGACGCGATGCCCATCACTGCATCTAAAAAGGAATCCTCAGATTTTTTGTCCACGTGAATGCAATAGAAATTCTGAGGCATGTAGATGGCCCTCAGGAGCCTGTCGAGCATTTCAATTTTGTGGTGAACTACTATAGAATATGCAATTGGAAACTCCACCTCTTCTTTGCTAAGGGGTTCTACGATATATTTGCGCCTCTTGATGAAAGACCTACAATCACTGGTCATGTTTATATAGTCGTAGGTTGTCCACCGAGGACGGTTTCTGAATTTTACTGTTAGCATCTTGAGCTTTACCTTTCGGATTTCATCTACGTCACCCTGTAAAACTTTGGTACAATTAACATCACTACTAGGATTCTCTTCGATCAGTTCCAAGTGACCGATGCTTACAAATTCGGTCTTCTGATGAATTATTAAAACAGAGAAGGCGACTAGGGAAAAAATGACAACCACGAAGTAGCATTTAGTGGGATAAGGAAACAGTCTCCTCCGTAGCAACCTCCTCAGCATTGCCAACAATGGTCGGGGCCTGTGCCTCGTAAAGGGCGGTCTCCTAGGCTTTGGACACCACCGGTCTTCTCTTGTTCGTGGACCTGAGAGCTGTCACTTTGCATTTATCATAGGTTCAAAGACATTTTGAAATGGAGGACAGTACTGAAAGAAAAATAGAAATGAAATATGTCAACACAAAATTTTCTACTACACCTTCTCAAGGCTCAAGTGTCCTCTTTGCTGTGAGATCATATTCTGAAAGTCAGATGTTTAAAACAAAGTGGATCAATAGGAGAAAAAGGGGTAGTGTGATAGGAAACTCACAGTCTCTAACATTTATATGCTTGTTTCAACAACAAAAAAGTGAGTTGTATGGGTAAATTAGAATATGCTATAATAAAAATTTTACTTGTTAGGTATGTACCAAAAATCCGTTGCTGTCAAGTTGATTCCAACTCATAGCGACCCTACAGGACAGAGTAGAACTGCCCCACGGAGTTTCCAAGGTTGAAATCTTTTACAGAAGCAGACTGCCACATCTTTCTCCTGCAAAGCAGCTGGTGGGTTTGAACTACCTACTTTTTGGTTAGCAGCCAAGCCCTATAATCCCTGCACCACCAGGGCTCCTTGTTAGGTATGTAGAGGTGTAAAAAACAATTGAAGACCTAAGCTACAATGATAGAAGTGTCCATAGTTAGTAGTTTTTTGATGCTGCACCAATTCTAAGAATTAGCACCTGTTACGAACTGTGTCCCCCAAAAATGTGTGTCAACTTGGCTACGCCATGATTCCCAGTATTGTGTGACTGTCCCTCATTTTGTCATCGGATGTGATTTTCCTATGTGTTGTAAATCCTACCTCTATGATGTTAATGAGGCAGGATTAGAAGCAGTTACGTTAATGAGGCAGGACTCAATCTACAAGATTAGGTTGTGTCTTAAATCAATCTCTTTTGAAATAAAAAAGAGACTCAGCAGAGACGGGGGACCTCATGCCACCAAGCAGGAAGAGCCAGGAATGCGCACGTCCTTTGGACCTGAGTTCCCTGCACTGAGAAGCTCTCAGACCAGGGGAAGGCTGATGAGCCAATAGAGAGAGAAAGCCTCCCCTGGCCCTGGCACCTTGAATTTGGACTTCTAGCCTCCTAGACTGTGAGAGAATAAATTTCTCTTTGTTAAAGCCATCCACTTGTGGTATTTCTGTTATAGCAGCACTAAATAACTAAGACAGCACCCTTTGGCTTGGTGGTGCACTGGTTGAAGCAACAGGCTGCTAATTGAAAGGTTGGCAGTTTGAACCCACCAGCCACTCACTCTGTGGGAGAAAGATGTGGCAGTCTGCTTCCATAAAGATTTACACCCTTGGAAACCTTATCAGGCAATTCTACCCTGTCCTACAGGGTTGCTATGAGTTGGAATCGCTCGACAACAATGGGTTTGGTTTTTTGCTTTCGCCTTGAAGTAAGGAGCTTTAGTGGCACAGTGGTTAAGCGCTTGACTACTAACTGAAAGGTCAGCGGTTTGAACCCACCAGCCGCTCCAAGGAAGAAAGATGTGGCAGTCTGCTTCTGTAAAGATTACAGCCTTCGGAACCTTATGGGGCAGTTCTACTGTCCTACAGGGTTGCTGTGAGTTGAACTCAGCTCAGTCGCAATGGGTGGTCATGCCTTGAAGTCGTTACTAATTCTGATTCCTCCTGATAGATGCATTAATGCCCATCACCTGGCTCAGCAGTCCTGAGGATTAGATGACATCATATTCATTCTACTCTGGGCTGATTTAGGATTAGGGAAACACTTTGGGAGAAATTCACAAACGGCTACGACCTCTAGATTCTTTTGGGGAAGGGACAGGTCAAATGAATTTTCAAACTAGACTGAAAAGGCTTGACTGAAACCAGGCCAGACCTGGGACGAAGCTGAGTTCAGTTCCATGCCAGGCACTACAGAAACGTAAAACATACATAATCTACAACAGCCTGCCAGTTTCGCATTGGTTATAAGATGTAATCATTATTAAGCCATGCAAAAAAACGACAGTCATATGCAACCTGTAATTTGTGACACACCTTATGTCTATATTCAAATTCCGGGAACTCAACCCACTTTTACTCTGTAAAATGTTTAAAAACATTCAAATACTGCTTTGTTTTAAAAAATCACTTTTGTAATTTGGCAACTGGTTCTGTAACTAGTAAGTGTTGCTCTACAAAGGAAGTCAATTGTCTCCACATCAAATTTTTAGAGATTTTAAACTAGTTTTTGGTACCACAATTAATAGTGGAACTTTTAAATGTTTCATTAAGAAGTTGTGAATATTAATAATTAAGTAATAATAATTGAACATGATTAGTATAGAATTATGTTAAGAAAAGTACTTGAAGCTTTTACCAGTTAGGATGAAGGCAAGTCTGGCTCATTTAGTCTTGATTCCAGGTAACGTCTTGTGACCACTTAGAGCGTACCTCATGTGATCAAGTTTCTTAAATATACTAGGCATCCAGTGATCGTGAGTCCCATGAGGCTTTTTTAAAAATCTGTGAAATGAAAATGGAAATGTGTGAAAGGAATGTATATGCATCCATGAGTATACACACACTCAGCAAGTACATGGGTGAACTAATCTTATATACTTATTTATTTCTCAGAATTATACCTCATTCACTTTTTTCTCTTTTAAAATTCCTCCTGTCTAGTCTTACTTTTCTAATTCTGTGTTTGTGGACTGATAAAGGTTTGAAAGACAATTCCCTGAAATTCAGGTCATTTGGGCTTTTTGAAAGAAAACTCTAGTGGCATTTCCCAAAGTGTATGCCAAAGAATGGTCCAATATGATCAGGAAATCTGACATACCCTATCCCGACTCTGAAGATGCCCAGAGCTCACCAGCATATTAAAGTCAATCCTCCAGTTGAAACAGCTGTTCATCTCACTGTTGCCCAACTATTTTGATAACCCACTCCTCCACTCTCTATTAGAAATCAAACATCGAGAGATGTTGTTAAAGTGACATCAATCAAGAACAACAAAACACTGATGAATGTGAAACAAAATATCAGCACACTAAACAAATTTAGCAGTTTGAGCCAAAATAAATGAAATCGAGAAAAGTCAGTGAAACCAAAAGCTGGTTCTTTGAGATCAACAAAATTGACAAACTTTTAGCTAAACTGACCAAATAAAAAAGAGAAAACTCAGGATTACTAAAATCAGGACTGAAAGAGGGGACATTACTACCGCTCTTAAGAAACAAAGGACTATAGGGAACACTATGGAAAGGTGTATGACCACAAATTGATAATTTAAATAAAATGGACCAATTCCTAAAAAGACAAACTACAGACACTGACTGAAGATGAAACAGAAAAGCTGAAGAGATCTTCTTCACACGAAAGAAGTCCAGGCCCAGATTGGCTTTATGGGTTAATTCTACCAAACGTTAAATAATTTAACACCAATCCTTTATTAACTCTTCCAAAAATTAGAATTCTATGAGGCCAGTATTGCTCTGATACCAAAACCAGACAAAGATATCACCAGAAAAATATCCCTTATGAATACAGATGCAAAAATCCTAAACAAATTCCAGCAAACTGAATTAACAGCATAAACACACACACACACACACACACACACACACACACACACACACACACACACACACACACACACCCATGATGACTAAGTGGGATTTATCCCAGGAATGCAAAGTTGGTGTAACATGCAAAAGTCAAATCAATTTAACATTTTAATGGAATAAAGGAGCCCTGGTGGCACAGTGGTTGAGTGCTCAGCTGCTAACCAAAAGGTCGGCGGTTCGAACCCATCAGCCGCTCTGTGGGAGAAAGATGTGGCAGTCTGCTTCTGTAAAGATTTACAACGCTGGAAATCCTATGGAGCAGCTCTACTCTGCTCTACTGGGTTGCTAGGAGTCAGAATCAACTCAACAGCAACAGGTTTGGTTTGGTTTTTTTAAAAGAGTAACGGAAAAAACTAATCACATAACCATCTCAACAGATCAGGAACAGAACTTTCTCAATCTGATGAACAGCATCTGCAGAAAGCCAACAGCTAACATCATACTTAATGGTGAAAGACAGGATGCCTTCCCTGTAAGATGAAGAACAAAACATGAATATAGCCTCTCTCACCATTTCTACTCAACATTGCACTCCAGGTTGTAGTCAGGGCAACCAGACAAGAAAAGGAAATAAATGCACCCAGATTGCAAAGGATGTAAAATGATCTTCATTCAAGACGAACTGAACTTATAAAATATTAGAAACCCAGTAACAAAAATGTGGCACAGCAGCAGAGGTTAGCACTGGTGGGCTCAATTTTCCTTCCCCTTCAGATTTCACAAAGGACGAAGATTCCTTGAGGAGACTGGATGGGAATAGTCAGTTGAGGCCAGAAACAAAACAGTAAGAACCATTCCCCATAATAAATACTCATAAATTCCAAGAGAGCAAGAAGAACACAAGGCCTAAACACAGACTAAAGGAGCCCTGGTGGTACAGTGGTTAAGCACTAAGCTGCTAACCGAAAGGTCAGCAGTTTGAATCTACCAGCCACTCCACAGGAGAAAGATGTGGCAGTCTGCTTCCATAAAGATTACAGCCTCGGAAACCTTATGTAGCAGTTTTATTCTGTCTTATAGGGTTGCTATTATTCAGAATTGACTCGACAGTATCAGGTTTGGGTTTCTGGTTTTAAACACAGACTAAGACTTGCTCATCCAGGGCTTTTTTTTTTTTTTTTTTAAAAAAAAACAAAAAACATTGCCATGGAGCCACTGCCCACTGCCAACTCATAGTGACCCTGCAGGACAGAGTAGAACTGTCCCATAGGGTTTCTGACGCTGTAAATCCTTACAGAAGCAGACTGCCACATCTTTCTCCTGCAGAGAGGCAGGTGGGTTGGAACCGCTGACCTTTCAGTTAGCAGCCAAGTACTTTACCACTGTGCTACCAGGACTCCTATCCAGGGCTTATAAGACCTGGCAACTATGCTGAAGAAGGCCCCCCCGTTGGAAGACTGATGCCTTTCCTTCAAGAGAAGACTTCTTTGTGGATACCATTATGAATATTTTTTACTAGAAAACACAGTATAAGAAACGGCAGAAGAAAATAATTTCACCACATGAAGAAATGAGGTAAAACCAAATTCCTGAAAGTAGTAGTTCTAAATATGTGGCTTTTGAAAATTAAAATAAAGCAGCCCATTGTTGCCATGGAGTGGATTCCAACTCATGGTGAACCCATGTGTTTGTTTTACAAAGTAGAACTGCTCCATAGGGCTTTCTTGGCTGTAATCTTTGCAGAAGCATATAGTCAGGCCTTTCTTCTGCAGTACTGCTGGGTGGGTTCGAACCACCAACCTTTAAGTTAGCAGCTGATCACAAACTGCTTGTGAGGACCTTAAATCAAGCAGCACAGAATACTAAATTCTACAAATACTGAAGAAAATTCTAATCCAGTAATAAGGAGAAGGGAGCTAGTAGAAGAAGGGAAGGAGACAAACAATAGAATTTCTCTGAGGTAACAAGACTAGTTACTAGAAGTGTTTCAACATAACTGAATAACCACAACAGGTCAGGTTTAGGGTGCAGTGGAATACTTAATGGAGTGGGATGATAAAATGACCTTGGGGGAATGTGAGAGGAGGCAACAAGTAAAATTTGAAAAGCAGATGGATGAGGGGTAACTGATTAAGCAGACCCAAGAATCCTAGGCTGACAGTATGAAAAGAACCAACTTTAGCTGCACTGCAAAATCCTAAAAAGGCTCAGGAATGTGGTACAGGTATGTATGAAGGGAGGCTGGCAGCAGTGGGGGAGGCATAGTGTTTTAAAAATAAACAAAAAAAAACAAGAGGACTGATTGGAAGCCATTTACAAAGCAGTCGGGATCTCTATCCTGACCCTGGCAAACACTCACGATTTAGGCTCTGCAGAGGTTCTCCACATTGGAGCCAACAGGCATAATGGAATGGAAGGTGCCGTCTACAAACCTAAGTGAACCCAGGAGCCCCTGGGTGGTACAAATGGTTAACGTGCTTGGCTGCTAACTAAAAGTTGGAGGTTCCAGAAGAACTAGATGGTGCCCGGCTACCACCAATGACCGCTGTGACTGGGAACACGGCAGAGTCCCTGATGGAGCAGGAGAAAAGTGGGGTACAGAGCTCAAATTCTAGTAAAAAGACCAGACTTAATGGTCTGAGACTGGAGGAACCCCAGAAGGCTTGGTCCCCGGACTCTCTGACAACCTAGAACTAAAACCATTCCAGAGGCCAACTCTTCAGACAAAGATTAGACTGGACTATGGGACACAAAATAACTCGTGAAATGTGCTTCTTAGCTCAAGTAGATACACAAGACTAAATGGGCAGCTCCTGTCTGGAGGTGAGATGAGAAGGCAGAGAGGGTCAGGAGCTGGTTGAATGGACCTGGGAAATCAGGGGTGGAAAGGAGGAGTGTGCTGTCATAGCATAGGGAGAGCAATTAGGGTCACATAACAATGTATGTATAAATTTTTGTATGGGAGACTAACTTGAACTGTAAACTTTCACTTAAAGTACAATTAAAAAAAAAAAGTTGGAGGTTCAAGTCCACCCAGAGGTGCCTTAGAAGAAAGGCCTGGCAATCCTATGAAAAATCAGCCACTGAAAACCCTATGGAGCACAGCTGTACTCTGACACACATGAGGTCACTGTCTTAGTCATCTAGTGCTGCTCCAACAGAAATACCACAAGTGGATGGCTTTAACAAAGAGAAGTTTATTTCTTCACAGTCCAGTAGGCTACAAGTCCAAATTCAGGGTGTCAGCTCCAGGGGAACACTTTCTCTGTTGGCTCTGCAGGAAGGTCCATGTCATCAGTCTTTCTTTGGTCTGGGAGCTTCTCTGTGCAGGAACCTCAGATCCAAAGGATGCGCTCTGCTCCCACCTCTGCTTTCTTGGTGGTATGAGGTTCCCATGTGTCTCTGCTCACTTCTCTCTTTTTTATTTCAAAAGAGATTGCATTAAGACACTGATCTTGTCAACCTCATCACAGTGATAGAATTTACAACACATGAGGAGATCACGTATAATCTCATCATAGTGGTAGAGTTTACAACACATAAGGACATCACATCAGATAACACAATCATACAATACTAAGAATCATGACCTAGCCAAGTTGCTACACACATTTTCTGGGGGACACAATTCAATCCATGACAGTCGCCATGAGTCGAGGTCTACTTAACAGCAACCGGTAAGTAAACCCAAACACAATGAATAATAAGATCTGCCTCCCCCATCCCCAGTCTGCTTATCGCCCCTACCAACTCCCAGAACTCTGGGAATCAAGCCTTTACCCTCCAGGCATGAGTTTATTTACTGGGGAATCCAACAAGGCCAAGACTATAAATATGCTGTTCATCTTGGGAGTTCCCCAAAAGTACAAAGGAAACAGACTGTGTAGGAAGAAAACTATCAATATCCCCAGAGAAATAAGAAAAGATACTGCATTCATTTAAAAAAAAAAAAAAAAA